TGGACATAGGGAATTTAGATGCTTCCTCCCCACTGCATGACACAGTGTGGGATGGGAGGGTCTCTGGTGAGACAGAATAATGAGAATCATGATGTTTCTTTCTATGTTATATTTATGCTAACTTATTGGTGCAGAAACCTTGTAATTGGTATCTGGAGTTCCCACAAAGGCATTTAGTTTATTTGTTGTTAAACCTGTCTTATGGGAGAATGAGGGTCCTAGGCTTCCTCTTCTGTCATTTGGCTGAAATCACTCCCTTTCACATTTTTCCTTTTTTTTTTAAAGATTTTGTTTGTTTGTTTTGTTTTGTTTTTAACGTTTATACTAGCTTCGTGAGGACATGTGCAGCTTACTTTCATGGGTAAATTGCATGTTCCTGAGGTTTGATATACAAATGATTTCACTACCCAGGTAGTTAGCACAGTACTCCATAGGTGGTAGCTTTCAACCCTCACTCTCCTCCTAACCTCCAGCCTCAAGTAGGCCCTGGTGACTATTGTTTCCCTCTTTGCATCCATGTGTACTTAATGTTTAGCACCACTTGTAAGTGAAGGCATGCAGCATTTGTTTTTCTGTTGCTGCATTAATTCGCTTAGGATAATGACCTCCAGTTCAATCCATGTTGCTGCAAATAACATTGTTTTATTTATTATGGCTACATAGTATTTCGTAGTATGTATGTACCATATTTTCCTTATCCAGTCCACCCTTGATGGACATCTAGGTCCTATATATTTGCTATTGTGAATATAGCTATAGTGAACATACAAATACATATATCATTTGAGTAGAATAATTCACATTTCTCTGGGTATATACCCAATCATGGGATTGCTGGGTCAAATGCTAGCTCTGTTTTAAGTTCTTTGAGAAATCTCTAAATCGTATTCCCCAGTGGAAGAACTAATTTACATACTCAACAGCAGTGTACAAGTGTTCCCTTTTCTCTACAACCTAATGAACATCCATTTTGTTATGGCATGGGTTAGGAAGGAGTCCCTCCTCCTCAATTTTTGGAATAATTTCAGTAGGATTGGTACCTGCTCTTTTGTATACATCTGATAGAAATTGACTGTGAATCTCTCTGGTCCAGTTTTTATTTTAGATTGTAGGATTTTTATTAATAATTTAATGTTTGCCATGTTATTGGTCTATTTAGGATTTCTCCTGGTTTAATGTTGTGAGGTTGTGTATTTCCAGGAATCCATCCTTTTTTTTTTTTTTTTTAGTTTTTTAGTTTGTATGAGAAGAGGTGCTCCTAATAGTCTCTGAGGCTTTTTTGGTTTTCTCTGGGGTTGGTGTCATCTGTCATTTCCTATTGTCTTTATTTGGATCTTCCCTTTTTTTTTTTTTTTAATTAATCTAGCTAGTTGTCTATCAGTCTTATTTAATATTTCAGGGCCAGGCGCGGTAGCTCATGCCTGTAATCTCAGCACTTTGGGAGGCCGAGGCAGGCAGATCACAAAGTCAGAAGTTTGAGACCAGCCTGACCAATATGGTGAAACCCCATCTCTACTAAAAATACAAAAACTAGACAGGTGTGGTGGCACACGTCTATACTCCCAGCTACTCAGGAGGCTGAGGCAGGAGAATTGCTTGAACCCAGGAGGTGGAGCTTACAGTGAGCCGAGATCATGCCACTGCACTCCAGCTTGGGCAACAGAGCAAAACTCCGTCTCAAAAAAAAAAAAAAAGAAAGAAAAAAGGATTTCAATTTATTTCCGGTTTAATGTTGGGAGGTTGTATATTTCCAGGAATCCATCTGGTTTTTTTGTTTGTTTGTTTTGGTTTTCTAGTTCGTGTGAAAAGAGGTGCCCATGATAGTCTCTGAAATGATTACGACTGAACAATTTTCATTACTATTCTCTGACACAAAGACTGTATGTACTTCTGTCTGTGCAAGCTGTCAGAGGTGACTCCTCTCAGGTGAGGAAATAGATTATTCATGGTCTTGTAGGCCATTGGAAAGACTTGATATTGCTATAAGGCACATGGAAAGACACTGAGTGGCAGCATGATCTATTTATTTTTAAATTATTTTGAAAGGATTTCTCTAGCTACTGTTTTGAGAAGATTCCATTAGGCAGACTTGTGCAGAACTAGAAAGATGTATCAAGAGGCTACTGCAGTTATTGAAGCAAGACGTGGTGGTGCAAACCACTGGGAATATAGAAGGTGATAAGAAGGGGTCTCTTAGTCAGTTTAGAATGGCAGAATAACAAAGATTGGTAACTGAAGAACAGAACTTTATTTCTCACATTTCTGAAGGCTGGGAAGTCTGAGATCAGGGTGCCAGTATAACTGAGTTCTGATGAGGGCCTCTTTCTGCTTTGGAGATGGCTATCTTCTCACTGTGTCCTCATATGGCATAGAGAGAGGGCGAGAATCTCTCATTTCTCTTATTATTAGGGTGCTCTACTCTTGTGACCAAGTACCCTAAAAGGCCCCATCTCCAATTATCATCACACTGGAGATTTGTGTTTCAACATAAAAATTTGGGGGGAGAACACAAACCTACCATTCAGAAGCGGGTAATATTTTAATAGTAGGGCTAAAGGAATAGCTTAAGGATGTAGATGTGAGCTTTAAGAGAAAGGATGAATCAATACATTTTGTTAAAAGAAAATTGGAAATTAAAACATCTACAACTACTACATCTCACATTGATACAGTCACTTCTGTTGGTCATAAAATTCCTCTTTGCTTCCACAAAGTTCAATATTTTAGCTGGCTCCTGGAAATGCTACCTTTGCAAATGTACTACCGTGCACCCTCCCAGTTAGCCTATGCTATTCACATGGAAATAAAGAATAGCTCACCATCGTGGCCATCTGAGAACAGTGTCTGGCTTCCTATAAATCAGTTAACGATATTAATTTAGAAATAACAACCCTGATTATACTCCTCTAACAATCGAATGTTGTAACCAAGTTAGAAAATCATGCTTTACTAGTGTAGTGATAATACTGTTACAGGATATTAGACCTTTGTCAGATGGGTAGATTGCAAAAATGCACAAGAAAAAAATAAAAAAACCCATCAAAATGTGAGCAAAGAATATGAATAGACACTTCTCAAAAGAAAACATTCATGTGGCCAACAAACAAACAAACAAGCTCAACATCACTGATCATTAGAGAAATGCACATCAAAACCACAATGAGGTACCATCTCACACCAGTCAGAATGGTGATTATTAAAAAGTCAAGAAATAAGAGATGCTTGTGAGACTGTGGAGAAATAGGAACGCTTTAACACTGTTGATGGGAAAGTAAATTATTTCAATCATTGTGGGAGACAGTATGACAATTCCTCAAGGATCTAGAACCAGAAATACCATTTGACCCAGCAATCCCATTACTGAGTATACACCCAAAGGATTATAAATCATTCTACTGTAAAGACACATGCATAGGTATATTTATTACAACACTATTTACAATAGCAAAGTCATGGAACCGAACCAAATGCCCATCAATGTCAGACTGGATAAAGAAAATGTGGTACCTATACACCAGGGAATACCACACAGCCATAAAAAGGAATGAGATCATGTCCTTTGCAGGGACATGGATAAAGCAGGAGGCCTTCATCCTCAGCAAACTAACACAGGAACAGAAAACCAAACACCGAAATGTTCTCACTTGTAAGTGGGAGCTGCCAGTGAGAACACATGGACACAGTGAGGGGAACAACACATACCAGGGCCTGTTGGGAGTTGGGGGGCGAGGGGAGAGAACTGAGAGGATGAGTCAATAGTTGCAGCAAACCACCATGGAACACATATACCTATGTAACAAACCTGCATTTTCTGCACATGTATCCTGGAACTTAAAGTAAAATAAAAAAATAAATAATAAAAACAAGTAAAGAAAATGTGGCTTATATACACCTTGGAATACTACACAGTCATCAAAAGGAATGAAATAACGTCTTTGGCAGCAACTTGGATGGAACTGGAGATCATTATTCTAAGAGAAGTAACTCAGGAATGGGAAACTAAATATTGTACATTCTCACTTATAAGAAAGAGCTAAACTATGAGGATGCAATGGCACAACAGCGGTATAATGAACTCTGGGGACTCGGGGGAATTGTTGGAAGGGGAGTGAGGGTGAGACTACATGTGGGGTACAGTGTACATTGCTTGGGTGACAGGTGCACTAAAATCTCATAAATCACCACTAAAGAACCTCTCCATGTAACCCAAACCACCTATACCCCCAGAAACTCTTGAAAAAAAAAAAATCACTAAAAAAAAGTTATAGGGCTGACAAGTTCCAATTTGTATAGGAAAAAAGATGAGTATGCTTTTTATGATAAAAATGTTTTTAAGTAAAGAAAAAAGCTATTTTAATTCCATGTACTTATAAACATTATATAGTTCTTTGATTAATCAATTTTCTCTTTTCTTTCTGCTGTTTTTTAGTTCTTCTCAACAGTCCTGTCATTCAGCTATGTTGCTAAAGCACTAAGTGGAATTTTTATGAAAATATCCACCACTCAAATAGAAAGGAGATTTGAAATATCCTCTTCTCTTGCTGGTGTAATTGATGGAAGCTTCGAAATAGGTAGCTTTTTTTTTTTTTCTATTTTAATAACCATATCTGCATATGCTAAAAAAACAAACTGTTTTTAACACTTGGCTGTCAGCCAAGTGTAAATTTGTCCCTCATGAGCAATTTGGCAATATCTGAAGACATTTTTAGTTGCCATAAATAAGCTGAGGAAGGGAGGATGCTACTGGTACCTAGGGGTAGAGGCCAGGGATGCTGCTAAACATTGTGTAACGCACAGGACAGACTTACAAACAAAGAACAATCCTTCCCAAAATGTCTATAGTGATGATGTTGAAAAACTCTAATCCTACACAAACTCATTGTTTGCAAATTAATGCCTTGTGAAGCTTTACCTCTCTTGTCTCAAGGTGTCCCAGTGTGAAGAAAGGCTGAGGGAGGACTATAATTCTTATGGTTTTAGGAGGGAGGGACTGTAAAGGAGCAACCTACACTAGATTCTACTGTTTAATGGGGTACACAATCGAGGGGTTAAAGTCTTTTTTGGGGGAACATTGAAGATATTGCTTTGTTGCTTTCACTTTAATTTGTATTTCTGCAACAATTGAAATTTTGTAATGTATTGCTAGCTCATTGTCTCTGCTACTTTTCTCTCTTCTTTTTACTTTCTAATTATTTAGAAGGACCTCCAAATCGTCTATTATATAAACTGCAAATATTTTATACAATTTTTGTTTCCAACTTAACTGTATTTGCAATATGCTTAATTAAATAATATTTAAAAAGTAATTGTCAAAGGAAGACATCTCTTTAAATCAATTCAAAATATTTGTGATCCCAAGATATTACACTCTACATGTCCTTCACTCTTTCACCTCTCAGGCTCAATGAAATCATCAAGGATTTTAGAATTAGAATGTTATTCATTTTAAAGTTCAATTCACTGAATGTCTCCTTTTGTTAAGAAATTGATCCTTCATATTTGTTAAACTTGCAGCTGTTTAACAGCAGTTATTTGAACATCATTATCAGTTTGTTTTCTTTGCTTACCTCTGTTTCTTGAATTTTGTGACTTCAAATCTCATCTTTAGTCTTTCTGGAATATACCTTCATGTATAGATGACCTTCTGTATGCACAGAAGGATGTGTACCACATCCATGGATTCAACCAACTGTGGATGCAAGATATATTCAAAAAATATAAAAATGAAAAAGTAGCAATACAATTGTAAAAATAATACAAATAAAAGCAACACAGAATAACAATTGTTTACATAGTATTTACGTTGTATTAAGTATTAGACATTAGATATGATATAAAGTACACAAGAGGGTATGGATAGGTTATATGCAATATTACACCTTTTTACTTAAGGGACTTGAACATCCGCAAATCTTGTTATCTACAGAGCATCCTAGAAGCAATAATCCACGGACATTAAGGGATGACTGTAATTATGTTTTTAGGAAGAATTTAAAATATAGCATATTTTCTAAGCCATTGCCTTTTGGAAAATGTGTGTATTTGACTGTCATATTTAAGTGATAATTTGTCTGGATATGGAATTAAGCATTCAAAATTCCTTTTTCTCAAAACTTTCATCTGAAAGCTTAAGTCTTCCGCTAACACAGGGAATTTTCTTTTTTTAGACGAAATCTCGCTCTGTCTCCCAGGCTGGAGTGCAGTGGTGCAATTTCGGCTCACTGCAAGCTCGGCCTCCCGGATTCAGCCATTCTCCTGCCTCAGCTTCCTGAGTAGCTGGGTCTACAGGCGCCCGCCGCCACACCCGGCTAATTTTTTTTGTTTTGTTTTGTTTTTGTATTTTTAGTAGAGACGTGGTTTCACCGTGGTCTCAACCTCCTGACCTCGTGATCCACCCGCCTCGGTGTCCCAATATTTTCTTTCCTTTCTTTTTTTTGTAGGGGGAGGGGGAAAAACAGTTTTTCGCTCTTGCTACCCAGGCTGCAGTGAAATGGCATGATCTCAGCTCACTGCAACCTCGGCCTCCGGTGTTCAAGACATTCTCCTGCTTCAGTCTCCCTGTTTTGTTTCTTTACTACTATTATTACTAACGCAAAGGCTAAATATCAATAAAGGCCAAAACGAGTGAAGAAAGCGGCAGCCTTTTTATTTGCAAATATGCACGCACTCTCGCTGGTCCGCGGGAAAGGGGCCAGGGAAGTTGGCCCGCCTCTGCCAGCAGCAGACTTTCATGTTTTGGCACTGGAAGGTGGAGAGCAGTGGGCGGGATAGGGGCGTGACAGGCGCGTCTCCGTAGGCGTGACCCGGTAAGTTTCGATTCCTCCGGATTGACGTCACCTTGCGCATGCTCAGTTGATCTGCATTTTCCCGGGCGCTGGCTGCATTTTGCTGGGCGCGGGTAAGTTGGTGATGCAGAACCCGGAAGCAACAGGGACTGTGCCTGCTTGTTGACCTTCCTCCATCTTGTTCCTTCTCCCTCACCCAAACATCCCAAGTAGCTGGGATTAGCGTGACTACTTTTGTATTTTTAGTAGAGACAGGGTTTCCCCATGTTGTCCAGGGTGGTTTCGAACTCCTGACCTCAGGTTATCCACCCGCCTTGGCCTCCAAAAGTGGGATTCCAGGCATTAGTCATCTCACGCGGTCAGCCAGTTTATTTTCTGTTTTCTATTTTTTTTTCTATTTTATTCTGTAACATATATGATATAAATAATATCTTTCCTGGCTATTTTTGCTTTTAAATTTTTTTCTTCTAAATTTCTATCTATTTTCCTTATGTTTCATCAATCGTCTCTGATGCCATCTTATATCAAGTGCTAATATGTAAATTTTTAATAGTATTTTAAATTTATAACAATACTTTATCATTCTTTTATTACTTTTAGTCTGCCATTCTGATTTTATGGATGCAACACTACTTTGCACCTCTAAATATGCTAACAGGATTTTTAAAAAAAGTTTTTACTGTTTTTAGTTTAATCTTGTTTAAGTACTTATTCTTATGTTGCTTTATCTGCTGGTCTGTTTTGATACTCTTCTTTCATACTATTATTTTCCATCAATGTTCAACAATCATTGTTGTCTGTTAATTGTTATGTATCAGACTACAGATAAATCTGAATTGATCTGCTCTGATTTCTCTTCTTCCAATTTTTAATCTAAATAATTTATACTTAAGATTAAATCTCAAATGACGTCTCCTCCAGGAAATTTTCACAAAGCCCCTAATTTAAGCTATTTCCGTAACCTAATAGCACTTCTATTCGTCTGTTTTATTTTATTACTAATGTGTTTCTAGAGAACAGGTACCATGGTTTATCCTTTTTTTATATTTCTGTCTCTGAGCACCGTGGTAGGTATATAGTATGAATTTAAAGAATGCTGGAAATAAATTTTAATAATGCATGAACGATGATCAAAAGATTTCTCAAGATTAGGAAGATATTTTTTCCGTCCCAATGCAATGCAGTAAACTCCAAACTTTCAATAACAGTTTGCTTCTCTCATATTGCCAAATTATCTAAGTGTTTTGTTTGCATATAAAACGTATTCTGCTTATCATTAGTACTATACAAATTTCAATTAGTGTCTTAATGCGGGAGAGTTCATCTTCACATTTAAATTTCATGGTCTTTGAGGGAAGATATGATGTCTTGGGCTTTATTTGCACTCATTCTGGGGCATTCAGTTCTACCAGATACAAAATTGAACTAAGTCATGTCAACATAATTTTGTTCTCTTTCTAGGAAATTTGCTTGTGATTGTATTTGTAAGTTACTTTGGATCTAAACTACACAGACCGAAGTTAATTGGAATTGGTTGTTTCCTTATGGGAACTGGAAGTATTTTGATGGCTTTACCACATTTCTTCATGGGATAGTAAGTGTTAAACAGCACTGAGCCATTCATTATCAGCAACTTATAAATTAGCAGTAGAATTTTATTTTTATCCTTTAAATAGTCAGTTATCTTTTGAGAGTATTCACTAAATATGTCTAGAAATGGAGCATATTTCCTTTGTATGATACTTAATGTATTGCTTTATTCATCATGGCTTTCATAGACTTTGAAATAAGAATAATATTACATAAGGTGTACAATTTCAAATGAAACAAATAAGCTATTTATTACTTTTTAGTATAACACGTGTACTTCATGTCTTTGCCTGTAAGATTTTAATAATACTCAGTAAGACTTCACAGCTTCACCCTGTGCGTATAGATTTTCCCAACAGCATTTCACCGAAGTCGTTCTTTCTAAGGTAACTGGGTAGCTATGATTAGAGTAAGGTGTTCATAAGAGAAAATTGGAAATAGCAAAAAAATAAGACAGAAGCTTAGTTTTTACATAAAAGTTAATGTAGCTAGTCGAAGAATGGTATCTTTTCATCATAGTGCTATGCGTTGCGTGGTCTTGGCCTCATGGTACAAATTGTGGCAATGTATTTTCTGGCAGCAGGGTAGAAGGGAAGAAAAACAAGGAGAAGAATAAAGAATGCACACAGACTGAGGCTTAAGGAGCATTTTCAGAAGCAGAACGTTTCCATTGGCTTCACATTTACCAGAAATTAGTTACATTTTACACATAGATATATAGATGTTGGGGGGAAAAAAGACTTTATTCCAGGACGCAATGTTTCCAGCTAAAAATCCCAACTTGTGTTACTGTGGAAGGAGAGAAATAAAGGATACTGAAAGACAATGAGCAGTACCTGTGAGAGATGCCATTTACTTACTCATTGCCATATCCAGCAATCATGCCTTTTGGTCATCATATTAATTCTGTTCTTTTGCTACGTTTGACCCTTATAAGAACTTTCTTCTTAATGGTACTACTCTAGTACTCATCATATTCCATAATCTTGATTCATTTTTCTACCTTTGTGGCCTCTTCATCATGTCCGTCCTTTTCCTCTACTTCTGACGCCGTAATTTCAGTGTCCCATAATTCCCTCTAATCTTCTTACTATCTTATTCTTCGTGATTTTTACGGAGAACATGCCTCAGATGTAACCACCACAGCTTCATCGTCCACTTCTTCCCACATTTGAGGACCACATTCTAAGCTTACAGTTCTCTAAATGTGCCATAGTACGTCATCTCTTTGCACCTGTTGTTTCTACAGCCTTGAATACTTTTCTTCCTTCGTCTACCAGTGAAACTTCTATCCATCTTCAGTATTCATTTTATCTGTCACTCACATTACGAAATCTTCTTTGATCTACCCACCACCTCCAAGCAAAGCTGATCATCTCTTTTGTGTGTGTATGTGACAACTAGGGACCTTGCACATTAAACTTACTGTGTCTTTGATCATATGCTTTTATCTCAGAGAGTGTGAAATCTCTAAAGTACGAAAACTGAGCTTTAGTTCACTAAAGCTGAACATAATACCTGGCACACTATATGCTGCCCTCAGAGCTCACAGGGCTCCTTAGTGCTTTTGGATATCAGCATCTGTGCCTAATTCAGCACCATCTCTTTTGTTGTTATTAACTTCTTCCTCATAAAGTTAAAATAGGTTAGAAAGTTTTAATTGACTTTTGAAGAGTCAAGCATTAGTGTGTGTGTGTGTCCATGAAAGAAAATCAAACGGACTTACTGTTTGACGATAACTCAAAGGGATAAATAGATATAGTTAACAGATTTGAAAAAACAGGTGAAACAGGATATTTTACATCTTGACCAGAATATAAGCACTCCTAGGATTATAGAAAAGTGATAACCCACTTTATCCATGATGTGTTGAATTATCTTTCTTAGTGAATGCTCCCATTCCCCCACCCCCATCACATCTTCTGACATACATGCTGGGAAACTGACAAAGAGAAGTATGGTAATTCGAAGACAGTGTCATTAAAGGGGAAATTTTTTCTGCATTTTCGGGAAAGGTGAAAATATTATATTCTGCAGATAAGCAAAATGTTCAATCCAGTGTTACTCTTATAGTTACAGGTATTCTAAAGAAACCAATATTGATCCATCAGAAAATTCAACATCAAACTTACCAAACTGTTTAAGTAATCAAATGCTATCACTCAATAAAACACCATCTGAGATAGTAGAAAGAGGTAAGAATTAATACTGACAGTTAAAAAGTATAAAATTTATATATTTAATTACTTCTAAAAATGTGATTTTTTAGCAAAACTGATTTAAGAACAAATAGGAAAAATATTTAACCCTTACATACAGGCAAAATCATACTGTTAATATACACAGTTGACCCATGAACCACGCAGATTGTAGCTGCATCCGTTCACTTATATGTGGCTTTCGTCCAACCAAAAAGAAGGAGAAACTCACCCATATGGAGATCTTACTTCTATAGGTAGTTTCCACAGGGCCAACTAGAGAAATTAAGTATGCATGAATTTGGATACACATGAGTTGTCCTGGAACAAACATCCTACTATATATGTCAAGGGATGACTGTAATATATATGAAGGATATTTATAAGTAGATGAGAAAAGAGAACAAATTTAGTAGGTAACTGGCAACAAACATACACATTTACAATTTAAAAAGCAGGAAGTGGAAGAAATATGTGAGTAATGTAACTTTGCTCTTCATAAAAAATGCAAAATATTATAGCATTTGAAGATTTTGTGCCTGTTATAACACAAATAATAAATTACAATTATAACCCAAAAGTTTTATGAAAAGAAATGGAAAAATGGAAAGGAGGAAATATAAAATTTCACATTTTATATACTTCTGGAAGTGTGTAAATTTGTAACTTTTTCGGGAGATTAATTTTCAATATATATTAAAGAACAAAAATACACCCACCTACTTTCTTGATAAATCTTAAGAAAATAGTCAGGAATGTGCACAAGGACTTATTTATAATTATAGCCATGACATCTGTGTTTAACAGAATAAAAAAATGGAAATATTTTGAAACTAAAAAAGAAGAGATTGTTTAAACAAATTAGGAAACTGTTATTCAACACACTGCTATACAGTTATTAGCATTTTCACATGGAAGAAATCTTAACAACATGGGGAAATTGTGATAATATAGTGATAATTATGTATGCAGCTTAAAAAAAACCTAGATATTTAATTATATATTGTACACAATGAATATTACGCATATTTTGTGCACCAGAAATGTAGAAGAGCTAGAGTAACATTTGAAATGATCTTCTGTGTTTAGTGTGATTATAAATATTTTTTGCATGTTTTCTTTGTGCCCTTCCTTATTTTCAAACTTTGCAAAGTGAATATGAATCACTTGTAATTAGGAAAAAAAATAGAATAGCAAAGGGTTTAAAGTAGTTAAATTTCTAATAGGAATGTTAAAAATAATGTTTAAAATAAAACACTCTCTTGTCTCGATAGGTTGTGTGAAGGAATCTGGGTCACACATGTGGATCTATGTCTTCCTGGGTAATGTGCTTCGTGGCATAGGAGAATCCCCCATAGTACCATTGGGGATTTCTTACATTGATGATTTCGCAAAAGAAGGACATTCTTCCTTGTACATAGGTAATAAACAGAAAATATTAAATTGCATGGTTAATCCCTAGGTCTACCTTTGAAATAATAGTGTCATTAATTTTATTCTTTATTAGAAAAATATTTGGAGAAATGTATTGTGTAATATTACTTTTTAAAACATGTTGAATAAAGACCAAGTTTTTGTGGTATCTGATTAAATTGTTTTGTAATACCTGCAGGTACTGTGAATGCAATGGGAATGATTGGTCTAGTTTTTGGCTTTATGCTGGGATCTCTGTTTGCTAAAATGTATGTGGATATCGGATATGTGGATCTGAGTAAGTACAATCGGAACAAGGTACCATGATAGTGCCTTTTAAGTGCAGGACACCATTCTTCCAAATAATTAAATTTACTTTTTCAGTAGTGCTTGCTTGCTATTTCCCAAAAGTTACAAGTAGGAAATAAATGCATTAATAATCAGAATAGAAATGAAATTCAGCTCCTTTTTATACTTTGCTTATAAACCTACATGTAAAAAGAGATTTTTAACAAACTTATTTTAGGTTACTTAAAATGTCCCTCTCCGAAAAGTGACTACTAAGTCCAGTACATTTTATTTTTCAGTTGATGGTGACTTGGTTGATGTGTAGGGCTCCGAGTTTGCTTTGCTAACATCTTCTTGTGGCTGCTTCATTGGCTTATGGCGGGGGTGATTTAAGAGACACCACAGTGCATTTTGGTTATGGTCATTTTTCCTGGTGTTTGCTGAGGACTTGGCACATGGCAACATTTAATGAGTGCTTGTTGAACAAATGAATGAAGGATAAGACATGTAAATAAAATTTGTGACTTTTCTCTTCACTCCCTTCACTCTCTTTCTCCTCTCATAGAAGAATGACAGGCCATGTTATAACATCTGCCTCAACTTCATGCCCTCCTTCCTACAGATGTACCTGTACTATATCAACTTTTATCTTGTTTTACCCATACTTATGAAAAAGTATTTATCTTTAGCTAATATTAATCGATCCAACTGGGGTTTAGATTTCATCTTTCTGCCTCTTCTTCATCTGCACCCTCTCTTTTCCTCAGCAAACCCTCTCAAGTCTCTCCCATCTATTTACATATATACATTTTTTATATCCCCAAATGACTTTCCAGTTGATTAACTGTTTCTCAATTCATCTTCAAAGCCAAGTACCTAGAAAAACATCATCTAAGTGCCTCATCATCTCATCTCCCATGTACTTCTCATCTAATATAATCTGCCTCTACCACTAATGAAACACAAAAAAGTTCTATGTAATTTACTAATTGTAATGGATATCTTTCTGTAATTTGTTTAAATATATATTTCTACTATTTATTCATTTTTTTTCTTAGATTTTTTTGAAAAATAGCTACCTAAAACCCTGTCAAATGCTGGTCTCATCATCTTATTTCCAAACCCACTTTGTTCCCTATGTTCCCTCTCTTGCTGAGTATCTGTACCTTAATTCAATGACTGACTGAATTTCTGTGCCCTGTAATCCCACACTCTCCTTTATTTAAAATTGGAAAAACTTTTCTCTCTTTTATTTTCATAGTTCTTAAAGTCTCTTTCAACATGTGGCTTTTCTCCCATAACTCTTACTTAATCATTTTTCATTGGTCTCAAATTTGGTGCCCCTATTAATGACCAAGAGCATGTCTTTATTGTAGCCCTTCTCACAACAATCTGTAAATATTTGTGTACTTACCCACCATCTCTTTGAGAATCACATGACAGAATGGTGTCTGTCTTAACAAATAGTAACTGATTAGTGTTTGTGAATAAACGAATGTGATTTTCTATCTCACCAGGACTTAAATAAATCACTCCAGTGAGATCAAAGGATTCATTCTGAGAGGAATAGACATCACAGTAGGCCAACCAATTTGAAAGTGCTTTCTAATATAAAATAAAAGCAAATACTTGATGATGATTTATGTCTTCCATTTTAGAAATGTGACTTAATGTAGCTACACATTATGTATACTATATTTAGTCATTTGATTCCAGTTTCATAATCGCTTTTATCACTGAGTACAAAATAAGTGGTGAAGGGCTTTAGGTCTTTTTTTTTTTTTTTGGAGATGGAGTCTCGCTCTGCCGCCCAGGCTGGAGTGCAGTGGCGGGATCTTAGCTCACTGCAAGCTCCACCTCCCGGGTTTACGCCATTCTCCTGCCTCAGCCTCCCAAGTAGCTGGGACTACAGGCGCCCGCCACTTCACCCGGCTAGTTTTTTGTATTTTTTAGTAGAGACGGGGTTTCACCAGATTAGCCAGGATGGTCTCGATCTCCTGACCTTGTGATCCGCCCGTCTTGGCCTCCTAAAGTGCTGGGATTACAGGCTTGAGCCACCGCGCCTGGCCGGCTTTAGGTCTTTAGGATAGTAGTTTTGCAGTCTCTCTATTCGAAATAATTACAGCATTTTACAGTTCATGGTTATTCAATTTCTACTCCTGACTGTTCAAATATTATCACATCTTCTCTACTCAGTTGAGAAGCATGAAGTGAACTTATTGTAAAGTATACTTTGGCAAACTTCAATTGCTACACAAGCCAAAGAGATAACACAACAAGTAAAGAGGGTCAAAGATCGGAAAATAGGGTTCGATGGTTAGAATGGGAAGGGTTTTGTTGGTAAACTGCTCTCGCCACACAGCCAAAAGCTCGGTTGCTGCCCAGCTCTGGCCTGTACTTTTTATGTGAAATTTTGAACCCAACATTGAAAAGACCTTCTGGTTGGTTTTCTAGAATATCCAGAAACTAAGATTTTTTTCATTTTTGTAGAATTTTCCAACTTTTAAGATGGTATGTTACCAAGGGAAACACTGTCAGACAATATCTAGCTAGGTTATGTTCTTTAGTTCCTATATAAAGACCAGTGAAAGAACCAAAAAAGTCCTCAAAATTACATTTCTGATAGGTGATAAATAAATACTTAGCATGTATATGGAGTTACTGATTTAACAAATCATTTCCTGACTTCAGTCTGTGTTGTTGATTGTAAAACAATATGATCACATAAATCAATTTTAAAGACAGATTCATCTATACTGGAAAATAATTTATTTCTAAATAGTTTTAAATCAAGTCAATATTTTCTTATGTCAATGAGTTTCCTTATAGATCGGAGTAATGGCATCATTTAATTGTGCTTCAAAGTTCTATGGTGTGTGTTTTTCCATGTGTGTGTTTTCTCAATTCTTATTGTTTTACTGTGGTAAGAACAACTGAAATAAAATTTACCTCCTTAACAGATTCTTAAAAGTACAGTTGACCTTTGAACAGCACAGGTTTGAACTGTGCAGATCCACTTATACATAGATCTTTTAATAAATGTATTGAAAATATTTTTTGAGATTTGTGACAATATGAAGAAACCTGCAGATAAACAACACAGCTTAGAAATTAGAAAATGTTAAGATACAGATATATCATGAATAAATAAAATATATATAGATGCTAAACTATTTTATAATTTGCTACAACAAAATATGCACAAATCTATTATTAGAAGTTAAAATTTGTCAAACTTTACACAGAAAAACTCTTATAGATTTTCCGTGATGCCATTTGCAGTCAAGAGAAATGCAACCAAATGTAAGGATATAGTATTAAGTCATAACTGAATAAAATTAACTGTAGTGCATATTTTACTGCTGTAAAAATTCTCTAACCATCTCCTGTTGTTATTGCAGTAAGCTCAAGTGTTGAGAGTATTTACTTAAAATGCCACATGTCATTCATCATCTCCATGTGAGTGGTTTTCATCACTCTCCAGTAAGTGATGAATCACTTTAAAAAGTGAACTCCTGGGGTTCCTGTGTAGTTTTCATTTTGTTTAGTGCAATGCCATAAACCTTAAATAACACTGTATGAGCTGCATGAAGTGCCACTAGTGAGGCTGGAAGTTCTCCCAGAAGCACAGAAACGTCATGACATTACAAGAAAAAGCCAAATTGTTTGATATGTACTATAGTTTGAGCTCTGCAGCTGGCCACTGTTTCAATATAAATGTACCAGTAGAAGGACTGTTGTAAACACACACACACACACACACACACAGAGAGAGAGAAATGGAGCAACATGAAGCCTCACTGCAGCTGCACCAGTGGGCAAAAAACCTGTGCTTTTAGTGAAATAGTTTTTATCTCATGTTGAAAATGCAGCTTTTATGTAGGTACAACATTGCTATTAAATTAAAGACATCGAATCATCCCAAATGCAGATCAAGGATAGACTGGATAAAGAAAATGTGCTACGTATACACCACAGAATACTCTGCAGCCATAAAAAGGAATGAGATCATTTCCTTTGCAGGGACATGGATGAAGCTGGAAGGCTTTATCCTCAGCAAACTAACAGGAACGGAAAACCAAACACTACATGTTCTCACTCATAAATGGGCACTGAAAAATGAGAATATGTGGACACAGGGAGGGGAACAACACATACTGAGGCTTGTCAAGGAGTGGGCACAGCAGGAGGGAGAGCATCAGAAAAAATAACTAATGCATGCTGGGATTAATACCTTGGAGATGGGTTGATAGGTGCAGCAGACTACCCTGGCACATGTTTACCTATGTAACAAATCTGCACATCCTGCACATGTATCCTGGAACTTAAATTAAATTAAAAAATTTTAAACAGCATACCTGTAAGACTTAAACACAATTTGAGAAAAAGTGAAGTCATTATATGACGACTTAAAGCAACAGGAAAGTGAAGGATTTAAAGCTGGAGAATTTAATGTCACTAAAGGATAATGTGAAAATTTTAGAAAGAAATTTGTCTCAGAAAAGCATCAAGATAACTGGAGAAGCAGCTTCTGCGAATCAGGAGGCAACAGAAATGTTCTAGATAGCATTAAGAAAATCACTGACAAGAAAAGACATCTACCCGAACAGGTTTTTAATTAGATGAAAGTTCCCTATTCTGGGAAAAAAAAGCCACAACGTACACTTATTAATAAAGAAGATACGTGAGCACCAGGATTTAAGGAGGAAGGGATAGGCTAACTGATGTTCTGTGCAAATACAGTGAGGTTTATGATCAGAACTGTTCTTACCTATGCAACTGCTAATCCCTAAGCCTGGAAGAGGAAAGATGAAAAACAATTGTTAGTCTTTGGGTGGTACACTAAGAAGCCCTGAATAATAAGAACATTTTTTTTTTTTTTTTTACTAAAAAGTTCTGACAGTTTCCATCGATACTTTGTTCCTCAAGATAAGGAGTATGTTGGCAGAAAGGGTTAGCTTTTTAAAGTTCTTTTGGTAATAGACAATGCTCTTGGTCATCCAGAACTCC